GACCCAGGCACCAGCCTCAAGGCAGGTCCAGGCGCCAGCTTCAGAGGGGACCCAAGCACCAGCCCCAAAGCAGGTCCAGGCACCAGCTTCAAGGGAGATCCAGGCACCAAGGCAGATCCAGGAGCCAACCCAAGTACCAATTCCAGAGCTACCAACACCAAAGGAGCCAGCCGACCAACCACCAATGGTCCCCATGACTGTCCGTGGGGCTACCCTCAAGAATGACCCACTACTGTCAGAAGAGCGCTTGGCTCGTTTGACGGCTTTGGTGGACGGCGCCAAGAAGGAAAACAAGAATGAAAGGAAATCGATTCGGAACGAGGACAAGGACAAAAAGGAAAAGACAGCGCCAAAAAGCAAAGCCAAAGGAAAAGCTCGCAAGCCCAGCAAGCAGGAGATAGAAGAAAACCCTCTGGATCCAGAAGAACCCGATTCCGAGGGCGAGGTTGAGGAGCCACCTTCTCCAGCCATTTTGCCGAAGGAGGCACGAGATTGAGCAGTCAGACCTGTCTTGCTCTTTTCACGCACTTTTCTGTTCTTCTCTTATTATACTGTGTTTTGCTATAATATCTTTTTCAGTCTCTTGCTCTCGTTCTACTCTGTTTCTATCTCTGTCTATATATCTCATCTCTCTCACTTTCCACCATTTTTGTCAGGAAAAGGCTGTGAAGTTGGAGGCAAAGGTTCGCCAGCCAGAGGCCGAGAAATCTGAAAAGCCAGCTGCTTCCCAGAGGACAGCCGGAATTCTGAGAGCTGTGAGGGCACCAGTGTCACAGCCTGAAACCGCAGATTTGGGCAAGAAGGCTGACAAGAGCTCCAAGAAGAGGAAGGGTGACTCCAACCAACCGCCAGACTCGGAGAAACCAGCAGAACCTGAAAAGCAACCCCGCAAGCCTGCTCTGAGGAAGCCAAACATCGACAATGCCAATGAGGCGTCGCGAAAGGATCAGAAGGAAGAAGAGGGTATGACAGCTCAGGGGGTGGACAGAAAGGCGGATTTGAAGGATCTGGAGGTGAAGAACGATGAGGAGGTGAAGACAAATGTGAAGCGTCGGAGGGGGAAGAAGTGTGGGGACGATGTGGATGTGAAGAATGCTGTGCAGAATGCTGTGAAGGGCCCCAAGGTGAATGAGGATGTGAAGGATGAGGATCTTGCTGATCAGGCTCAGAAGCGTCGCAAAGCGGCGGCGAAGGCAAAGAGCAAGGCTGAGAAGCAGGACCGTTATACTGTAATATATTCCAACTCACCACGATGTCACTGTCGCAGGAATCTCACCTGAAACATCACTTTGTTAACTGTGCTCAAAGGACGATGGTACGATGAGATCTGTCTACTGGGCGTTCATCTCAGAGACAAAGCAGCGGCTGCAAGCGGAAAACCCGACCCTTTCCAAGACCATGGTTTTGGAAATGGCTCGTACCGAGTGCCTGCCTAAGTTTCCTGCAGCACCCACTCAACTTACCGGCTTGGTTGTGATGTTGATTCAAACTTAAACTATCAAAACGTTAAAAGCACTCGGTAGTCATTCTTGATCCTGTCAGGTGGAAGGGGCATCCTGCAAGGATCGAGCAAATGAAGAACATGTCCCACTCCGAGCTCTCCCGGAGGCGCCTCGTCCCTGCCACCAGGACCAGGAAGTCCAAACCATCTTCTGCCGAAGCTCCTGTGCAAGAGAAGGCGTTGGAGCCGGAGCCACCATGTGAGGAAGCGAGCAATGAGGACGAACCGGACAACGAGGACGACGAGGACCATGATGAGGGTGCTTCGGACCAGGACCAGGTAGTAGATGAAATCGATTGATCTTTGATCAATGCCAGTTTTAGGGGTGCAACCCAGCTTTTTGAAGACTGGAACTCCAAGTCTTTAGTGCACCAAATAAAACGTATAAAACTGTCCACATACTATGGGTTCGAACCAACTTCAAGCGACCAGTTGTATGGAGAGCCAGTCACGTGCTGTTGGGCTGCAGTTTGGGGGGCGCTCTTTTGAGCGTCTGTTTGGCTTAGATCACTCACTATAGTTCCGTCGCGGACCAACAAAGACAGTCGGATAGCTGCTGTGAAGGGAAAGGGGTAACTCGTGCGTGCTGATCCAACATGCATGCTTTCTGTCAATTCATGGTTTTGAGATGTGTGAGCTCTCATCCACACGAACCTCGTCAATGCAACAATGTGCAAAATAATGTTGATTGGGCTGACATGCCAGGTGAGTCCTTCAAGGTCATGACAGCCGAATGGACATCGGATCAGCAGGAAGTCGTACTTGAGGTGCCTGATGAAAAGGGCAAAGGTACTCAGGATTCTTCAAGGTCCAGCTGGCAACAGCTTTTCCTCGAAATGGAGAACGCTGGTGTCATCGACGTCGGCGTCAGTGGACATGATATTTTTGCACCAGTGAGGGGTGCGTCTGAACAAGGTGGGGGCCCCACACTAAAAGCGAAACATTCGATGGCTTTCGATGTTGATCCATGCATAACTGCGTCACTGCCAAAATCCCATGCATTACCAGGTCCACAGCAGCACTGTCTTCAAGCCGAAGGCCACAACGAACTACTTTCAGTACAGCGAGGTGACAAGCAATCATAAGTACTCGACTTGCGCATCGATCTTCAATGCGGCTGCCACTTGCCCGATGAAACTCTAGCGAGTCTAGTGTTTGAAGTGTTTGCAGACTGGCGCCTTCATCATGAAAGGGCTTGGATCGGATCACCATGGCTCAAACTCAGGAGTTGGACGCCAGCAAGACTCTTACCAAAATTTGGCGAGTGGCCTATCTACGTGAGACCAACGACTTTCAGCATGATTAGTCTCAAGTACCTAGCATCTTTCAACAATCTGTTGAACTATGTTGAACTGGTGGAACAGTTGAACCTAAGGATATTCGGCCGCGCCACTTGACAAGCAAGTGGCTGACTTCCTGACTCCCTTTTGATTGCAGGTCACTGGATGTGTTCTAGTTTTGCCCAACTCGCTCAGGCAAGCCGCTTTATTTTGTCAAAGATCCGGTGGTGCTTGATGCCGGAACAGTTCTGAGATTGGTGTGATCTGTTAGGTGGCCACCTTTGGGTCCTTTGGGTTCAATTTGCAAGAGATCAAGGTTGTTTCGAGAGTGTGACCCTCCACATTGTGTTTGAGCAAAGGTGGCTGTGACTGTTTAGGTCTGATTCGAACGACTCGACGCCATGAATCCGGGAGAAAACAATGACAAAGCGGCGTGGTTTCTCCTTGGTTACCCCATGCCCATCCTGTCGTTCCAACCCTACTACTCTCGAATGCCATGAAACTACTCTCGAATGCCATGAAATGGCCTTATAAAAGGATACGGATAGTGGTGTAGCTTATGTTACAGTACGTGTTTGTTGCTGTTGTTATTGTTGTTGGTGGTTGTACTGAGTACGTTTAAAAAGTAGGGGAGAAGAAAATACCAACATAAATAGCTCTGAGAGAAAACCAAGCCCCAAAAGCGAGCAAGACATTGGAAGAATCGTGAAAAGACTCTTTACTATTGCGTACCTTTAATCAATCAGGATCAAACACTATATACTTGTCTCATCTTGTCTCTACTTGCGTTATGTTTTTGCTCATGAAACAGGTGTTAATCATGTTATATAAATCAACCACTGAGCGCCATTCACTTCGCTTACACTTGTGCAATTGTACAATTCTTGGCAACACAATTGTCTGGTAGTGCAAAACCTCTTCGAACATTGATTTAAGTAGCCTGCCTCATTTGTTGTTTGTGGCTCGAATCACTCAAAACACTACGATAAAATCATCAAGGTCTTGCTCTAGCTCGATGGAAGACCTGCGCATGGCGCATAGACCAAACATAGTCTCCCAAATTCATTAACTATGTACTGTGTCAACATTGAGGAAACACCGCGAAAGGATGCGAAAGGAAGCTTTGGCCATGCTGTCAGATTCTGTCCTAATGTATCATACAACATCATCCAACCCAGCTGCGTCGAGTGCTGTGGATCGCCATGACCCTCAAAACCTGATTCTGTCGAACCTCCCAGCCATATGTTGAACCGAGGTCGCCACGCACCTCCACGCAGCTCCACGCCAAGGCACAAGAAGCAAGAGGCATGATACCAAAGGGTCATCTTCCCGTCAAAGGTGTCGGACGGCACCATCTTTCCAATCCTCGACTCGTCGGTCGGTCGGTCTTCGCACGGCGATTTCCCGCGGGACGATGGGGGCTTCACGTCGATTTCTGGCGGCGGCATGTCCAGATGAAGGCGTCGGCGCAAGGCAGGAGTCACAAGACGGGGTGGTTTTGAGTCCCCAAGTGAGTGGATCATGGGCACCCCGACTTCCTCCAAGTTCGGCACCCCTGTGTGACTGCTGGTTCACATCATTTTAGAGTGGTTTCAGAGATGATGGCACAAAAGGTTGGTTTATTATATGGACCCTCATCTAAAGGACATCTTGGGGCTCTGTGCCATCTACTCTGAAACCACCGTATGTGAAAATTCAATTGATGTTTCATTCTACTTGTAACTCGACCATCGCTTCAATCGAACCCCCCCGGAGCCCTCACACGAACAACACCTGTAAACCAGCGCTCTGCGCTTCTGCGTGGGTTCTCTTTCAGGCGACTTCTCGGAAACGTGAGCCTTGCCTGGCCATTGAGCGCTCTATTCGACGAGCGGGATCCTCAACATCCTCAACTGAATAGGCTGGAAGCCCAGAAACACCAATCATACACCTCATGGATCTCCAAACGGATGGTCCCGCAATTAACTCTCTGCACTGTGGGCTGTTTAAAGGTCTCCTTCATATGGCGCAAAATCAAACACATCACGTTGACCAGCGCCGTCAAACGCCGTCTCCGCGTTCGCAGTCTCCGCGCAGTGTTCTCCGCTCCTCAGGACTTGTGTTTGAATCTTCTCCTGGCGAAGTTGTGGACGGTTTGACTCTCGACAGAGACGTCCTGAAGTCCCGGGCTTTGTTTAAACGAACCTGGACGAGCGAAGTAGAAAACACGAACCCACAAATATTACGCGAGTTGGAGTGTAACACCTCATGACATGTTCCATATTCTCGATACTTCCATGTTTGTCTCGATTGACATAGTTAGATTATGTTAGATTTATCTTCAAATCAGGGAACGCCGCTTTTTCCCAATAAAAACATATGACATGTAAAATCATGTAACTCATCAGTAAGCTCCAGAACCTGAAGCAAGGTTTACGAGTCCAAACGCTTTTTTTTGGGGGGGCGACGTTCCTTGTGGCGACATGCTACACCAAGTGGCCCAATCACACCCAATGTGATGCCCTGGAAGAGTCCCACAATGATCCATCATGGAACCATACCACCAATCGCCCAAGTGGTGGTATGGAGCGAGCGAAATCCGCTCATCTTCCGCTGCGGGAAGAACCACATCTGGATCGGTCGACGGTCGACCGTCAACGACCTCCAGTCGGCTTCACGCGGCAAGTCGGGAGACTTGCCGGCTTCGCTCCAAGTGACCTCCTTCTCCGAGGGAGCTGAGCTCGGAATCTGAAGGCATCTGAAGGCATCATAGGTCGAATTTGAGGTACCTGTTCTGGAATTCTGGTCCATGAGCTTCGCATGTCGTCCATTGTGCCCAAGTCCACCGTCCACCGTGCCAGCGAAACAACCAGATGGAAGCAACAGCTCTGTCTACTTAGGGAAGCAACATAGAAGCACAGCTCTGGCAAACGTCACACCCTGCGTCACGAGCACTGACTCCATGATTGGTGACGGATTCCTGAACAAAAGGAACACAATTGGCATCACTGTCACCATGTGCAAAAAAGAAGACGCCACCCAGGATCCCCCCACATCATGCGACTGGTGAGGCGAGGGTGGCGCTTCAGGAAAACCGCCGAACCAGGTGTTGGGCCTTCCTTCATCTGCAGGTCCAGGAAAAAGGAACTTAAATACCCGTGAGAACGTCCTTGCAAATCGTCAAATAGTGGGATGACTGACTGCTCATGCTCCAATCTTCTTTTCTCGGCTTCGATGCGAAGACAACTAACTAAAACATCCCATTATAGAATTAGAATAGTGATTGAATAGTGGATTAGTGGATGGCCATGCTCAGAAACGCAAAACAACCCATGGGGCGCCCACCCGCTTCATCCACCCGGCGCTTCATGCCACGCCCCGGTCGCCCCGCGCCTGGCAGATCTTGCAGGTCGACCGGGCCGTCCGCGCGCGCTCGGTGCCTCGAGGCGAGGCACAGGAGCCGCAGGTGACAGGGCCGTACTGTGAGGAAGAGATGGCGGGTGACGTATTGAACAGTAAGAATATCAATATAAATAGACTAGTCTTGTCGGTCTTGTAGTTACATCTAATGAATGACTTTCATATGTCATAAATGACATGTATTTATGTATAACTATACAGTACATGTTTGTATAACATTGCATTTTAAAAAAATACAAAAAAAAAACAACAAGTTAGATTATATTGATGTTATATAAATGCTATGCTATTATATGATGTGTAAATACTCCGACATTAGCACTGCTATGACATGTAGGACCCAATGGGTCTTTGACCGTTCACCTTTCTCCGACATAACCGTCGACCCGCGGGGGATCCGTTGATCCCCGAGCACATTCTCAGGTCCGACCCGGACCCGGCTGGAGGGCCTCGGGATCCGGCACATCGTGAGGACTTCGTTGTCTTCGTTGATTGGGTTCACATTTGTCTTCGAGGACCCCAAGTCAGACTCTTGCCTCCCCAAACAAACACTCTCTTCAGGACTCGTTTTCTTCGACCCAAATAAACGGACCCCCTCAAAACCAAATCGCCCGGCCACCG